TCTTAAGCATCTTCACGAAGACTTTCATCTTCTTGGAAGAAAAGCACGTACTGCGACGAAGATTTACGTACGCGAATCTTCGCGCTTGCGCAGACAAATAAACTAATTGAAAAATCTTGAGATTGAAAAATTGTCTTATTCAATAAGCGAAAAAACAATTGGAAAATATTATCTCGATGTGTTCGCAACACGAAATATTTTTAAGATAGAAAACAAAACAACAGGAACATCAAGAGAGCCGACATTTCCCGATATCTCTCGTGGCGCGAGATATTTTGACGTGCGAATGCCACGTCCAAAAGCAACTCGAATAATAGCTATCATTCGATGTGCCGATCGAATTAATTTGGCCCCGCTAGGATGACACGTCGTGTCAGACGGCGGCTCCGCATCTGGATGTAATGACAGGACGATATTCGAACAGCGAGGTCGCGTCCGAGCGGTTAGAAGGTTCAGAGGTCACTGAACCTTTTGTGTGACCACGCGAAGGAATCACACGCGCGCGCGCGGACGCGTGCACGAACGCACGTACGCACTCACCACGCGAAGAGGGAAGAAAGAGGAGATATTGAAAGACTCGCTTCTTTTCGATTTTTTTTTGTTTGCAAACTGATTTACGAATTGGCACGCGGAGAGATATTTTCTCTTCAGTGAGATAAAAGATCGAAATAAACGGTGCGCACATTCGTGACCGAGGCAGCGAGACGCGTGTAAGTTCTCTCTTGCTCCTCGGTGGTGTGCGTCCTGTCGCAAAAGGAGAGAAAGAAAGCTCGAGAGTGAAAGAGAGACAGAGGGTAAGACAGAGAAAAAAAATCCTCCAAAAACGCAGGAGTAACACACATCGCGAGCGAGACGAAACGAAGCCACGGGCAATAATTCTCATATTTTAGGGAGGCAATTTCGCGAAGGCGAGTGCGCGCGCGCGCGCGCACACACACACAGACACACACACGAAGAGAGGAGCTGGAGAGATTTTCGAGGGCTGTACTTTTCGATAATTTATGCCAACGAGCCTCTCGGCTCGGCTTTCCGAGAAGCGATTCCCTTCGTTGTGCCCATCGCGAAACTCTGAAATATTATAATTCTTCGCGGTCTTCGGGTATGCGCGTCGTTATCGCGACGAAAAAAAAAAAAGAAACGATGACACTTTCTTTATCGAAAATTACGCAACTCCAATCCTAAATTTGCGCAACAGTCCGCCCCCTCGTTCGATGTATTTTATTCTCAACGATAATGGGACGCGAAATAACCGTTTGTATTTCGGGAACTCCGTGCAAACAGGATAAAAAAGCAAAGAAATGACGATGTTTAAGATATTTTGTTTGTTATTGTCATTTTCTTGGAGTCTTTTTCACTGATTATTTCACAAGAAAGTTCACGAGAGAAATAGCGAAAACACAAGTTTTGTCAGAGCGCGCGGGAGAAAACGTGAAATGCGCTGAAAATTTCGAGTAATGAAGAATCGAGTTTGCCGCCGTGTGAACGGAAGCGCGAGATCGATCAAGCGCGAAATAAAAAGAGTGAAGAATAATACAATGAAGCGATTTAATAGCATCGATATCCCCGGCGAGGGGGCGTGAAAGAAAACGAGTGTAGTAGTACCCGTATTTAGTAGATATTCCGGGAGGTACGTGAAAGGATTTAAAGTACGCGTAGAGAGTCAGATCCCGTAGCTCGGATGCAGATGATCCAAGATTATAGACATTAGGTACATTAGCCTTGGCGTTATGCGATTCTTTGGTGGCCCCGGGGTCCCCGGGGTCCCCGGTCTCTGCATTCGTTCTCCCCCGTGCACGCCTGCGCATCGTCGTTCTGTCCGCGTGAAATAATCCAGCGGCATTTTCCGCGAATCGCCGTCATTCCCGATCAAATCACAATCTGAGGTGCCGATACCGATAGCCCGACATGTTACTCGAGAATTCAAAGTCGGCAAATAACTAGAAAATAACTAAAAAAATTGATTTTTATTTCTTGATTCCTGTTTTGAGATTGTTTGTTTGAGAAAAAAAAACTTCAATTATTATACCGTGTACGATCGTTTCAATCGGAAGTTTTTCATCTTTGCACGATGCTTTTTCACAATGCCCGCAACGTAGCTTTAGATGACTGAGCCTCACTTGAGCTTTCAACGGCTCGGATCGCGGGATGATAATTGCGCCTTAAACGCGAAAGGAAACGCGCATCAATTACACCGGTCAAGGGAACGTGTTCGCGCGAGAGGGTAAATCGTCGACTGGGCAGGTGCAGGGCGAGAGGGCGAGAGCAAGGCGCAATCGAAAGACGAATGAAACGTCGAAGGCGACGATTACGGGAGTGACTATCCTGTAATCCACCGGCGAGGATGGTTTCTTAGATCCTGTGCTTGATTGGTAATTGGATCCTACTTCGGCATTGAGAAGCACATATATACCCGCGTGTATATCGAGGAAGGTTCGTTTACCTCCCCCTTTAGATGGAGCAATCTCTCGCCGCCGCGGCGAAATAGTCGGCTTCGTCGTATCATTCGCTTCCTCTCCCGCTTCCGATTTCGCCTAACCACCGACCGTATTTATCACGAAATTATCACGTATCTAACTCAGGTTGTTGAAATGAGTCTATCAAACGAGCGTTAAAAGCAGTAACAAAAGTTTTTCAAACTGTACATAAAGCAAGAGATTTTTTATTCATTTACAAGGAATTTCCCTCTGCAAGTGCTTTTTTTCCATTTTCTTTCTCAGTGCTTCATTTTTCACTCGTTCTTATCGTGTTCTTTATGTAAAAAAAAATCGGAAAACACGACACATGTCCGCTTCGACAACTCTCCGTAGCGTTAATACACAAAGAAAAAGCAGAGTCGGTGAAGCAAACCGCAGGGATGTGTCGCGGCGGTTTAAAGATGATGAAGGCGGGATGTTTCTCGACCGACAACCGCAGACGGTGTCGACACGGTTGCATAAACTCAATAGACTATTACCGATAGTGTTTACGATTTCAATTACTGGCTGGCTAATGGAGAATGATCCCGAAGGACAAGGTCGTGTTTCCAAAAAAAAAAAACATATTCACAGACACACACACATACACGCACAATTGCCGATCCAAGAACGAACTTTATTGGTCAAATTTTTTTATTGTCATCCGAAAGTTCTGCCAGAAAATATTTAATATGTGTGTGTGTGTGTGTGTGTGGGTGTACGACATATCTGAAGAAAACACAATTCCTCATAAATTTTCATCTTATTTTATTAATAAAATCTATATTAAAATACTGAATAAATAGTGAAAAACTTTTTCACTCTTAAAAGAACACTTTCTTAAGAGGAACAAAACTACTGTGTGATACACAAATAAACTGTATAAGCTCTTACGTTTTTTTCACGAGAAAATTTCTCAAATGTGATCGTTATTGCGCGAGCGTGTTATCTAAAGAATCTAACCGCGAAAAATACTCTCTCTAAGAAGAGGAAAGCCGCTGCAGATTAGCGCACGTGCAATGCTGCGCGAAGTCGCGCCAGGTGCAACTCGCTGACGATAACACATAACGCGCCTGCTTAAAGATTCAGATACTGAAATTCTGTAATATCGCCCTTTGCCCTTCCGCAGATCATACATGCAAACGCATATAAATCCATCGCGTCGTTAAGATAAATCGAGCATAAAAATTTCTTTTGATTAGTTTAAACAAAAAAATATACGCGCTATCTTCGTCGAAAAATCATACGATAATTTTACCGGAGAAAAGCGATATTATTAAACTGGTATTATCGTTCCCGCGATATGAAAGAAACGTTAGTCAGTAAAAGTGCAACTTCGCGCAGTTAAACTCGAGCGAAGAAGCAAGTGCAAAGGATTCGCGCGCGAACAGTTTTACCACGGAAATAGAGCAGCGTCGTGAAAAGGAACGCGGTTTGATGACTCAGGCTTAGGTTCTCCATTCCGAGAAGAGCGAAACTCCACTCCGGGTTTCGCTCTCCTATAGAAATTAGTGATAATTATATAGGGCTAGCACCTGCACGCAGGTGCAAAAACTCGGGGAACGCTCTTGTATGCTCGTTGCCTCTCGTGGACGAGAGCAAGCAGCCGTGAGTCATTGTCAAAGCAAGAGTCGAGGAACATCTCCTCGAACCGGATATATCGTCGTACCACGGTGGTTGATTGTCGGTGACAAGCCGGGATGGAAGACGAGTAAATTTCTCGACAGAGAATGCGCGCACCTACCGTAGCACAGCGATTAAATCCTAACAAGATCGCGATAAAAATTTCTCAACTAATTGCCTCTAATCGTGTTAAAAAAGAAAATGATTTAAAACTAATAAAACTCACACTAATTAATCAAATTAAATTTTTAATTTCAATTAGTTTTGTCCTACACAACCCTAGATTGTTTAATTTAATTTAATTTAGTTTAATTTTGTCTTCTGCATCGCGCAGGATCTCCTATTGATCTTTTCACAAATAGAGAAGCTCTTCATACTACTTTACAACTAACTTAATGAAAATTACGTTTGTAAATTATAAACAAAATTTGTATTTGCGACACTGTGACGTTTTTGAGATTGTTGTATTGTGTTTCNACGCTAACGATTTTTCGCTACACGCCCACCAATTAATGTCACGTACCAACAAGAACCTTCTACATGTAAGTCACACATGTAAAGAAATATGCGAAACTACTTGCAACTTTTTCAGAGAATTTATACAGCCATTAAACGCATCATGCATAATGCATATATTTGAGATGGATGGTGACCGGTTCGGCTTTGCNAATATCTCGTTTCCTAGTGAATAGTCCACTTTAGAGTGAAAAATTCGTGACAAAAAAAAAAAAAAAAGATTAACATTGCCAACAGGTACAACTGTGTTTGCGTGGTCAACTTTGTTACACATTAGAAACGGCGTTTTTAAGGTCGCAAATATGATCGTAAATATACAAAAAAAAAAACACATTTAGTAACGGTACATATCGTGTGTATAAACAGCAAGTATTTAGAAGAGATCTTACTATTGTTGCACGCACTTACCTTTCAGTTGCGTAGTCTCGATCGCGAACATGTTCAGCGCCAGCAGTTGAAGTAGACGAGTACCAGGAAGCGGTAGCGGCGAGTGCTGCAACAAAGCTCTGAATTCCTTCAGCATTTGAACACCAGCTTCTTGGAAGGTCTCCATCCTGAAAATAAAAAAAAAACAAGAAAAAATAAATACAATTTTTATCCGTCAAATGTACATATTGGTTCATTTTCCTTCAATATTGCGCGCGCGAGGAGTGTCTGCGACGTCACTTCATTGGCTCGCGTGGCCTGAGCTGGTGATAAAGGAGGACAAANGTTGGCCGTGGGGTCTAGAACCGCCGAGGGGCCATCCTCGTAAACACGGCGGTGAAACGGCACTGAGAGATCTCGCATAGCGGGCGCTATCTTTCCCACAGCCTCTTTCCGCGTGGCACATATATATATATATATTGTTTCTTAAAATTGTATTATTCAAGTGTTACTTTTATCTGTAACGTATACCTGCGTAAAATGTCGTCAAATAATGCCCGTANTCNGCGTGANGTTGCAAAATAGCTTTCTCCACATCCGTACTTAATGACTGCCAGTCGTCTTCTATTGTCTGAAGACAAGACTTTATCTAATATAAATACGTGCACACAGGTTTTGCTGCGTTAATTTAAAATTGTTTCTATACAATAAATAGAGCTATNTCAAACTTTTGTTTAATAATTACTTACGGCTCTCGTGTTCATCATCATGCTCGCCAGTTTGACACTGAAACATATGCTGATGAACGCCGATGACACGCTCTCGAATACATCATCGAGATCCATTGACGCATTTAGTACGTACAGTAACTACANGTTACAGAATTAATATTGTAAAACACATCGTTTGACATATCGTTGAAATATTTGTCAAATTAAAGAAGGTGTAAAAAAATTTTTCTTTTTACACACGCAAAGTTCGCGACTTACGCACAGTACCTGAGATATCAGAATACTGAAGGAGAACGTGAACATTGGTATAAAGTGCATCCATCTGTCGCGAAGCCTATGGTACGGACATATTCCCGATAAGGACAGGTATAGTCTAGGAACAACGTAGTGTCGGCTTTTCCATAAGGTAAATGTACCAGTATCCGGACGATTAAGAAATAGTGGCCATATATGTGCTGATTTAATGTGTAAAAATATCATAAAATTNAAAAATTTTTGTTTTAGTACAAATTGATACAATCAAGTACTGAAAACTGAAACATTTAAATTTCTGAATTACATTAGGTGTATCTATTTTAATAAAAATATAAAAATGTGCAAATGTTCCAGTAAGCGGACAACCTAAAAGTGCATGTCCCAGTATTTGAATTATGTTGTCCCAGTAACCGGACAAATAATATGTAAATATTATCCGTTAATTCCTATAAATTCTGTGAGAAAGTTCAGAATGTCTGCGGAAAAAGACTTCGTACCAATGCCTTCCAGGTCTGTCATTGGTGAAAGGCCTTTCTAGTTTTAATTTAATTATAAATGAACGTACACTATCAAGTAGTAGTGTTTTAGTCACAGGAAAACTCTTCTGACAGCAATAAAATATCCAGTTTACAATGATATTTTCTTGTTCTTCAGAGAGAATTGAAGGTGGTCCTTTTTTGCAACATATTAAGCTTCTATTTGTATGTTTATAATAAAGCGTACTTCTAAATACATTATATTGTTGACGCTTGTCTAATAGGCATTCCATCTCCCACAGCTTCTACAGCTTCCTTGACGTTATCTTGAGTATATTTACTATGTTTTTGCCTTTTTGCCATGCTTGATTTGTAAAAAAATTAAAGTTATAAGAATTAGTTTAATTACACAAATCTACAAATGTTGAGATTAAGTATGAACTTCTACANTTTTATTATACATTTCATTATATATGTACTTACTTGCTTGTAGAAAATACACACTATTATTATTTATAAAAGTAAGGACAAAGGGCCAATAAGAGCCTGAACACAGATGTTAGTGTGTGAAAATTAGGAGTTTATTTTAAATATTTAAATCGTTACGTTTCGATCCTAAGTTTGGATCATCTTCAGACAATGTAAAGTTGTCAACTTAAGCATTGTCTGAAGATGATCCAAACCTAGAATCGAAACGTAACGATTTAAATATGTAAAATAAACTCCTAATTTTCACACACTAACATCCGTGTTCAGGCTCTTATTGGCTTTGTCCTTACTTTTATGAGATTTTATCAGATCCTTTTTGTTCCTTTCTATTTGATTATTATTTATTATAAAAAACAATTCTGTTTCACAAAAATAATTATTTTTATTATAAAAAGTGCTTGACTACGCTCAACATTTTTATAACAAAAACTTACTTGACAACTAGTGCAACGCACAGTCTATCTATTGGTACATTGAAGAAACTGTTGTACCAATAATTAAACTTAGACTTTTACAATAAAAAAAATTAATTTTCTTGCAAGTTTGAGCATTTTATGTAAAGTTAATTGTATTAATTACACAGTTTGTCCGGAAAGTTCCCGGACT